TTCTTCACATGTTCATCACTGGCCTACCACGAGTGGACAAACGAACATAAGAATTTGCTTGGTGAAAGAAGAACAAGGTCTATCTAGCTCGCCTTCCACCACCAGTCGCTTGACATGTTATGTCCCAAACTATATACCGAATCCCAAAATATTATTTTCTTGCAGGAATCTGTCTAAATTATTTTTGAAACAAAAAACACTTTCTGCTTCCACTGTCTGTCTAGGGAGTCTGTTGCATAAGTTTACTGCTCGCTCACTGAAGTAGTGTTTCCACAGATTTGTTCTGAATTTACCCCCTTTCAATTGCAGGACATGTCCTCTGGTTCTACTGTTCAGGACCAGATAAAACAGCTTATCTACATGGAACCATGACAAGAAGTGTAGTGTTTAACCCACTAACTATAACAGTGGCAGCTCCTAGTGACTCCCTACAGTTTTGAGAAACAGAATTTGTTTTCGTTCAGTCATTCTATCTGTTTAACTTTGCATGATATGTGTGCGTATGAGACTACTTGAACCAATAAACAACAGTAAATAGGCCTGTGCATTGTGCTTTCCTCATTCAATTTAACTCAGACCACTTAATTTAGTGGGTAACTAGGATTCCAGCACTCAGTGGGAAGTGACATTCAAGAACAATGAGAACATTGTCTGAGTGTATGTATGAAAGGGTTAGCCCTTTACAAAGTAAGAAAATCATTAACATACAACAGAAAGAGATGAACCAAAAACAGAAACCTCGGGGCCATTCAGACTGGCCTCTGATCTGAAAGCATGCGCCCAGCAAGTAAACCCTCAGAAGGCTATTATACAGATAAGAATCACACTCTTGAGCACAGCCAAGTAACAAAAAAATTATTACAGTTTATGGTAATGTAAAACACTTATTTTAAATCAAGAAAAACTGCTTGACCTACCTTTCTGTTTTGCTAGCTTCACAAACAGGATCAATAAGTTCCATTAAGACTGCTTTTGTGGAACAAAGCTGTAAATCCTGACGGTCTATTATTTTAACCTTGTTAATACTACGTGTCTTAATCAGGTATTCAAATAGCTGATGCCTGTCCGATCAGTCATTTGCACTGATGTCTTTTGACACAGTCCCTCCTCAAAGATTGCTGTACTTGCATATTGACCTCATGATACAACATTGCTGCTCTTGGCAATGTGCAATAGCTAATTTAGTGGCACATCTGGCAATTATTTTATAATTATTGAAGTCCCAATATTGGGTTCAATCCTGGTAGACAGCTCAGTTGATTTTTCTCTGTCACAGTGATTTGGAATACATAGTTATATTGTACTATTTATACTTACAGACTTACTACGCAGGCACTTTGACTTAAAACTAGCAGCAGTTTATTAGTTTGCATGAGTATAATACTGACTTAGTGTATGATCCTTCAGCTTTGATTGGCACTATCTAGTAGATTGAGAAGAGATCCAGTAATCAGTTACTTGAAACTGAAATATTGTACCATGGTCCATATGTTTCAAATAAGGAACAACCCCGTTATAACATAAAAGGGAAATTACTGTAGATGCTGGAAATCTGAAATAAAAACAGAAGTTGCTGGGGACACTCGTTGACCTGAAAGGTTAACTTACTTTCCTTTCTCCATAGATGCTGCCTGACCTGCTGAGTGTTCCCAGCCACTTCTGTTTTTATTCCCATTATAACATACCTCACCATAACACGGATTCACTTATAACGCAATTGGGTTGTGAACCCTGAAGTTTTGTCACCTGAAAAATCTAAATCCTGTCACTGCACCATCCATATCTCATCATTGCAGTGATATACGTTGAAACACAATGGCGAGATTTGTGTGGTGTTGATGAAGCAGTCAAGAGCAGCCGGCTGGCTTCATGTGCACGTGTTCTGTACGTCTCTGGTAATGTGACTGGTAATGTCACCTCCTGGAATTGCTGTCAGGCAGCTGCTCTTCAGTCCCTTTATTCGTCCACAAAATATACAGTCAATTTACTTTACAGTCTATTCTGTGCAGCGCTTTGAGATGTCTTAAAGATGTGTTGAGGCGCTATATCAAATACAAGGAATATTATTATTATTACCTCTAAACGCCAGAGATTAAGGGATGTATGAAGTCTAACAAAGATTGAAGGAGACGAAATCCATCATTTACAAAATTCAGTCAAAATGCCTGCATTCACATTAAGCCATCAAAACCTTTTGCAGCTGACTGACTGCTTGAAAGCAAACCAATAGCTTATCTAAGAACATTTAAGTATGTAGAGGGAATAAAGGAATCATGGGAGTCATTGCAAGGTAGTAATTTAATCAAAGGGTTGAGCTAGTTTATACACAGACTAATAGAGGGCCAGCAGTTAGATAGAGGGAAGTAATTGATTTGAACAGTTCTGATGATGCTATAAACCTTGAGAACGAATCTCAAGTGATTTTTCAATGTCATTAGAAACCTGAGATTCAATTTCTGCTTTGTACCTCTGCCAGCTATACTTTCAATTTTCCTCTTTCTAATCAATAGATTTCTGATGGTCGTTTCTTTGTGCTGTTCTGTATGTTGTGTGGTATTGTTCCTTTGCTTTGATTCACCGCCAGCTGTGGCTCAAGCACCTCCGGACCCACCGCCTCTCCCTTTCACAGGCCAAAACTGACTTTTACTCCAAGTCACCCTGGAGGCAAACAACAATCCAAAGAATGTGTTTTCCACCGTCGTGCACCTCCTCAAGCTCACTCGATCCTCATGTCAAACACCAAGTGCAAAGATGTCCTGGACTTCTTTGCCTCAAAAATTGAAAACATCCGCTTGGCTGCATCGTCCTCTGCGCCCCCCCACTCATGTCCCCTTTCACCCCACTCAGATCATCCACACTGCCTTCTCCTTCCGCCACGGATCCTGCCACTCCCCCCTCCTTACACTCTTTTGCCTTCATTTCTCCCTCCTCCAACCACAATCACCCGGATGAAGTTCACCACTTGCTACCTTGACCCCTTCCCCATCCAACTGCTGGTCACTCAAACCCCCTTCTCTCCCCCCTGCGTGGCTGAGGTGGTCAACCAATCTCTCTCCTCAGGCTCTGTTGCACTTCCCTCCTCAAAAAACCCACTTCAATCCCTCTAATCTTACACACTATCGTCCCATCTCCTTCCTTGCCAAAGTCCTGGAACGCATTGTTGCAGGTCAACTTCGGTCACACCTCCTCCCTCCACTCTCTCCTCGAGCCCCTACAGTCTGGTTTTCGCCCTGACTGTCCACAGCACAGAGACAGCACTTGTCAAAGCCACAAACGACATTCTCTCTGTCTGTAACCAGGGCTCCCTCTGCCTCCTCGTCCTTCTTCGACACAGTCGACCACACCATCCTCCTCCATTGGCTCTCCTCCCTCATCTACTTAGTGGAACTGCACTCGCAATGGTTCAAGTCCTACTTAACCAACCACCTCCATTTCATCTCAACAATGGTTTCTCCTCCGCCCCACAACGGTCACCTGTGGGATACCCCAGGGCTCCATCCTTGGCCCTCTTCTTTTCCTTATCTATATGCTCCCTCTGGGATTACTCCCACGCACCTCTCGCTGGTCTCCCCAGCTCCACCATTCACAAGATCGAGTTCATTCAAAACTCTGCTGCCCGCAAATTGACCCGAAACAAACTCGGACCCACATCTCACCAATTCTGGCCCAGGCTCCACCGGCTCCCCATCACTGAAAGGATTGACTTCAAGATGCTCAGTCTCGTATTTAAATCCATTCACTCCCTGGCACCTCCTCACTCCCCAATCCACCACCCAGAGCCTCCGCTCGACTGGCACTGGCCTCCTGCTCGTCCCTCGCACCCTCCGCCCCACCATTGGATGTCGTGCTTTCAGCCACTACTCCCCAAAACACTGGAACACTCTCCCTCAATCCCTCCGCCTTGCCCTCTCTCTCCCCTCTTTCAAGTCCAGCCTGAAGAATTTCCTGTTCGACCGTGCTTACGGCCACCTCCCCACTCCTCCCGCCTCAGAGTCAGGCTCCGCCACTGTTAAGCGCTCTGAGACGCTGCTCTGCGTGGAGGGCGCTATACAAGTGCAAGTTGTTGTTGTTGTTTGCTTTGAAAAATGAAATTGGTGAATGGATATTTGATAGGACAATATAGAGATTGTGATCTGCCAGCACAATAACGCCTTTAGAGCACTTCCTGATATATGGTTTAATAATTTGAGAGAGTGATATTTGTCCTTGACACAGCTGAAAGAGTCAATGACAATTGTCAATGATCTCCATGTCGTTAATACGTGATGATGTTCTAGTATTAAAAATGTTAAGGCCATTATTGCAGTTTATCAATAAGTAATTTGACGTTGATTCGTTGGAAATTATAATGACCACTTTAGGGTTACAATTCATTTTACAATGGGTTGTATACTGAAACGGAGAGTTGAACCATGATTAGATCTGTATGTAACCATTGTATTTGATATAGCGCCTATAAAGTCAAAATGCCTTAGAAAGTATTTTACAGGTATTTGCGACAAACTGTAGTGACTGTTTTTGTAAGCAAACATGGCAGTCAATTAATTCACAACACGATCCCACAAACAGCATTGAGGTGAAGAATCTGGAGGATGGGAGGCAGGACACTGTGAGAAATTCTCTTCTCTTTTTAAATAATGTCACAGGATCCTTAATATCCACCAGAAACAGGCAAATGGTCCCCCAGTATTTCACTAAAGTGTCAGCTTAGAGTCTGTGAGCTCAAGCCCCAAGGTGGCATTTGAACTTACAACTCTCTTGACTCAGGGGCAAGAATGCTACCAAGTTGAGCCAGGCTGCGACTGTTACTTGTTCAACCATAAAACACACTGAAATATTTATTTTGACTACTGGCGCAGAAAACTAAATTGTGATTTAACTCTTGCATTTAGATCACACTATCAGTTCCTGGCAGAATTATGTTAAATGCACATCATAACATTAAAAGCAGCAAATAACCATGCTAAATTTCTATTATTATGCAAACTACAATACTCTACCTTGAGGGAACTGTCAATTGTTTTGAGAATGGCTGTTTTTTATCCTGTCTGCAGTCCAAGCGTCATCCGCATAAAACCGAGGAGAATGTTCCATTTTTATCCTTCACCTCTGCATAGAAAAACAAAGAAAAATACCTCAAACGATTCGTCACATAGTAAGTGTAATGATTGTTCTCAGCTCTCTAGCTCAGGGGAGAAAAAATGAGCTTGACTGATTTTGATTTGTTTCATGTATATGTGCATCCTACTTAGCTTGACAATCCCTAAAGCAGTGCTGGTGATAAAAAAAATTCTTGTGACATAAGAGATAATTTTGTTAGGAATATATAATTTATCCTTGTCTTTAAAGAGAAAAACAGCACACAAATGAATAGTTTGTGAAGAAATGTACTCTGTACAATGGGAGTGAGTGGATAATGATTTGTACAATCTTCATTTGGACTCAAGGAATTAATCATAAGGGGTTTTTGATCCTCTTCCGGGACATATAGGGGTTGAAATTATGTACGAAATATTAATCATGTAAATTAAGATGGCCATCATAATCTGTGGCGTTAAGGAAAATAAATGCATTTATCTTACATTGAAAATTCCTGTGATGATTTTTGGGGATTCAACAACAACAAATTATACCAGTATTGTGCCTTTTCACATCGAAAAGACGTCTCAGGGCACTGGACAATCAGGGATTTTGGACCTGAGCTGGGAATTGTGGTGAGAAGGGGAGGGGGCTGGGGGGCGGGAGGGTGGTCAAAGGCTCGATTGAAGAGGAAGGTCTTCAGACGGGACTTGAAGGAGCAAGTGAGGGGGTAAATCAGAGGGATTACGGGTTAGAAATACCTGTGTTCAGTCCAGGGAAAGGTTCCAAGATATCCAAGTGGTTTAACCAAAAAGAATAATAACTGTACTGTGGACTCATAGACACCAGGAATTGGAATGAGACTTTTCAATATTGTATCATTAAATGTAATGCTCCTGGAGTTCAGATATTTCCATCCCATATACTCCAGATATAAATGAAAGGAGGGCATTCTAACTCACTATGGAATCCAACTCCTGGTTTTATTGAGTGTTCTTTTACATTGCTTAGTATAGTTTGAAAATGTTAAATTAAATTGAAAATCACAGATACACTGAGATTGATTACAAGGCAGTAATCTTATCAAGGAATTCAGGGAATGTCATAAACTGCCTGCAAGTGCCAAGATTGAACACATTCTAACCAAATGAACCTAAAATCAGATTACAGCCTTAAAATACTTCCATGATATCAATCCAATGATTATATACTACAAGGTTGATAGGATATTATATTTCCCTTCCGCATTTTTTCTCTTTGCTGGTGTTGCCTGTCAGAATGCACCATAACAGTGAATACATTATTTGCTACTGATGATGCATGATAACGTCTAAAAAGAATGAATGGATGAATAGAAGCTACATGTATTGCTAAAGGAAAAATAGTTTTTTTGACGATAGGTTGAAGAAAATGTCATGCAAGCACCAATAAAAAAAATGGGATGCAACTGAGTCAGATTCTACTCTTACTCACACTTTCTAGCAAAGATCAATGAAAAACAATATGGAATAGGAATCTTGGATTTTCCTCTTCCACACAACCAAGCTGATATTGTGATATTCTTTTTGGAAAATACATTTCTGATACTCTTCTCAAAGTACAGATTAAAGTACCTTATGTTCGTAAAATAATAGCTATGTAATACGGGGTTACAAGACTGCAATCCAGCCAAGAAATTGAATTGATAATTAATCCGGAGATTAGACTCCATTGCAGCACATTTTACTCCCACAGCAGCTGTGATTAAGTTATTCAGCACAAATTACCACATCAGGACTTCAACTCACAGAGTCTTAGCTGACACTCCGGTGCAGTGGAGGGGTGCAGCGTTCTCAGAGGTGTCTTCCTTTAGTTGAGACATTAAACCGAGGTCCCATCTGCTGGTTCAGGTGGACATTAAAGATCCAATGGCACTATTCGAAAAGAGAAGGAAGTTTCTTCCAGTATCATGGCCAACAATTGGTCACTCACTCCATGGCTGTTTGTGGGATATTGCTGTGTGCAAATTGCCCACAAAATATAGTCAATCCACTTTACAGTATATCCTGTGAATTGCTTTTGGATATCCTCTCGATTTGAAAGGCGCTACACTAAATGCAAGGATTAATATTCCAGGAATCAAACCTGGATCCATCTTGACCTGTATGACTGAGTAGTATTTGTTTTGATTATTATTATTGTTTTGTGTTGAAGGGATTAATATTGTTTGTTTGACTTTAAGATCTTCACACTCGTGTTCAAATCCATTCACTCCCTGGCACCTCCCTACCTCTCCAAAGTCCTCACTCCCCAATCCACCACCCAGAGCTTTCTGCTCGACTGGTGGTCTCCTGCTCGTCCCTCGCACCCTCCACCCCACCATTGGAGGTCGTGCTTTCAGCCACTACGCCCCAAATCTCTGGAACGCTCTCCCTCAATTCCTCCGCCTTGCCCTCTCTCCCCTTTCAAGTCTCACCTGAAAACCTTCCTCTTCGACCATGGTTACAGCCACCTCCCCCTGGCTCAGAGTTAGGCTCTGCCTTTGTTAAGTGCTCTGAGACGTTACACTGCATGGAGGGCACTATATAAGTGCAAGTTGTTGATTATTATTGTTTGTTTTGAAGGGTTTATTATTACTTTTAAGGGAGTATTATTGTTTTGAAGGGAGTATCACATTATGTTGTGCATTACCTCATTGAACAATTGTCATTGCTCTATGTTTGTTATCTATTTCCTTTCTCCAAATTTATTTTATTTGTCTTACCTTTGAGCTGTCTTGAGGCCATCATGTTGAAGTAACATATTGTGGAAGAAGGATTATTACGCCTGCTTCTTTTGCTTGACCTAAAAGATTACAGAATTATAAGGTGTGTATTGTAAGCTTTGCTACTTTTAAGTACTTTAGAGACACAAACGATCTCTATCTCAGATAATGGATTTTTCTTTCCTTGGGCATAAAAAGTTGGCCTCATCTTCACTTTTGTTTTAAAGTGATGGCTCTCCTCTCAATTTTCTCTCTCCTGAACATGTAGATTCACAATGTGTCACAGGGCACTAGAACACTTAATAATAATAATAAAATAATAATCCTTGCATTTGATATAGCACTTTTCACGTCTTCTCGACGTCTCAAAGCGCTTCACATAATAGACCGTAAAGTGAATTGACCGTATATTTGTGAGTGAAACGCGGCAGCCAATTGCGCGCAGCAGCGTCCCACAAACAGTCGTGGATTAAAAATGACCAATTTTTTTTATTGTTGTTTTTGTTTTGGAGGGATTATTATTAGACGTGTGGAGTAAGGAAACTTGCCCAAGGTTTCGCCACTTCTAATATCTTGCCAAGCGACTTCATTTATGGGGCCTTCTGTTCTGACACTGCAGTTTCCAGAAGTGGGGCTCTGGATGGCAATTTTAATGGGTATTTTTCCCTATCCCTAGCTGGAGGAAATGTCACCCACCCCCAAACACACACACTGAAACCTTGGCTGAGGTTAGACAACAGCACTGAAAATAGATTATTATTATTAGTAGTAGTAGTAGTATTATTATTCAATATCATAAAAGACAGAGGATTTACCACCAAACTATGTATGCTATGTATGAGAGAGAGATTTTTTTTACATTTTAAAAAATTCAGTGTAATTGTGAGGTTGAGGTGTCATGAACATTACCAACTCTAAAGTTACTCGCTGGTCAAGGTACATTATCACAGAGAACAACTGATATAGTATCTACTTTACTAATGGATGAATACCACTTATTGACCAAACCACAAAAACATTGGGATCGGAAGCTACAGAGGAGTCAATAACCTGCTTTCCAAAAGAACTAGAAGATACTAGTATTGATGTATACATATTAACCAAGTTGGGACAACAATATTCAAAAGTTAAATGTTATAAATATGGGAATGTGTGCCAATATTCTGTTAGTAATTCTGAGCTGAACTTCGGTAACCTTTATTTGACCATCTTTAATGTATTGTGGGTCACTTCAGGTTAATTGAGTATTGCCTAAAAGCCTTCCATAAACATTGGGTTCAGCACAGAGGTTAAGTAGTCTGTCTGGAGACAAAAACTATTCTGTGAGCTATGTTTAGTACTCTAGCTGAAAATAGAGTTACAAAGAAGAGTTGTTGGATGTTCGTTAATTTAGCAAAGACCAAGATTGAATCTTGTTGAAGTGTTTTGCTTCAGTACACTACATAATAATAATCCTTGCATTTGATATAACACCTTATCGCTTTTTCAAGAAGTCTCAAAGCTCTTCACACAATATACTGTAAGTGAATTAATTGATTGTAAGTATATTTTGTGGGGGAAACACGCCAGCCAATTAATTACGCAGAGCAGTTCCCAGTCATGGACTGAGTGACCAAATTATTATATATTTTTAAATTTTTCTTTTTTTAAGGATTACCCCCTTATTACATTACTATTACATGCATCGTTGCCTCTATTTTTAGTTGTTTCTAACTTTGTTATGCAAAATGAAACTGAGTTTATGATCATACTTTTTATAATATTTATTTATATTATATTTATTTGCTTTTTTCGCATCCTTTTATCTTCCTCTCTCTTGTCATTTTTCCTCAACTGGTTTTTCTCATTATCCTTATTGTGGTTTTACGTTTAGACCACAAATTTCAGTCTCCCACTGAATAACAGAAGCAGGTTTTCTCAACAGAGAAAAAAAGTTGTAACTACCAACTTTAAATCAATATTTTAACTTTTTTAAGAACATTTTTTAGTAAGCAGCTGCTATCAAATTAATCCTAGGTTGTGACAGTGGGGTCAACAGTAACAGGATTTGTTCCAGACTGATGATGAGGCCAGGGGAATTTCAGGGATTGGGCACAGAGCTGAGAGAAAGACTGATGGTGAAACTATATCTGAGAGCATGAATTATAAAGACAATCTCAGGTACTAACCATTATCTGCATTGTCTTTCAACCTTGGGTGAACTTCAATTGCAAATTTACTTTCATTACTTTTATCAGATGAATCACGATTAAATTTAGAACTATTGTTACTCTGCAAAAAGAACTCTTCATAATACTATGTACCGTACATGCTAAGTTGTCTCCCCTCGATATAAACAGAAATTTTACTTAATAATAATAATCCTTTTGCAATTGATACAGCGCCTTCTCACGTCTAGAGACCGTTTTGAAGCGCTTCACACAATATAAAGTGAATTGCCTGTATATTTTGTGGGTGAAATGCAGCAGCCAATTGTGCGCAGCAGTGTCCCACAAACAGTCTTGGATTGAGTGGCCAAATTATTATTATTTTTATATGAAAAAGAATGAAAATAACTTTTCAACAATTGAAATAGGCTTATTAATGCATGTTGTGATAAATGTAAAATCAAAAGATTTCAAAGGACTAATGGATTACTATTTCCTGTTGTTACAACTACAAACATTCAGATAGCCTGCAGTACCTCACAGATCAAACATCTGAATACCCAGTAACAGGTTAACCTGGTAGTAAATTTCATTTGATGGTTTCAATTTCCATTATATTGTTAACATTAGCAAAACTATGCCCTTTAATGATGATGGTTAGGAGGATGTAATCTGCAGCTGGAGCCTGTGAGAAAGCTTTATATGTGAAGGAAGTTACAAATCTGCTGCCAGGTTAACCTGTTGCAGGGTTAAATTGTTTGATGTTATGAAAAGCAGTCTGAGTCCACGCAAAATCATTGCTTTTCAGCCACAGGTTAAGGGTGTACTATTTTTCCTACGTTTTGCTTACAGAATATGCAGTCAATTCACTTCACAGTATATTCTGTGAAGCGCTTTGAGAAGTCTCGAAGATGTGATAAGGCATTATATCAAATGCAAGGATTATTATTATTCCCTTCTGAATCATGTACTGTGCCAATTAGCTGGATATGTATGTAGGTGACATTCTCTCAGGTCTCTGTGTTGTCTGAGAGTGTGTACCAGCCCTTTCCCTCTGCTAAGCATTATACAGTAATTGAGATCAAGAATTTAGCAGTTGAAGGCTTGAGGTTATGTCACTGCACATTATTGTGCGTTGCTTTCCGACAAACTACACAAACTACTATATATTGGAAATTTTGAATCTCAGCTTCATGTGATCTATCCCAACACCTGCAGCTAAAATCTATATCCTGCCTATCTGATTTTCATGGTTTTGCCACCAATTCATACTTATAATGACTTATCCCACTTTCCCACATACTCCCCAATGTCTCTTATGTTTTTCCGCCTATTTGTGCAATTTCTTTTCTGTCTTTAGTTGGAATTTCCATGCAATTTGTGCTCTTTCTTAGTCGCTCTTGCACTTTGTGAACCTCTCTCCCTTGCATTTCTCTCTCTTACACTTCCCGCATTATCATTACAAGAAGATTACATTTATATAGCGCCTTTCACGTATCGAGGACGTTCCAAGGCGCTGGACAGAGTACAGCATTTCAGACCTGAGCTGCTTCTTTATTTACCTGTTCTTAGTACAAATTACCATCTTCTGGCTGTCTCTTGACACACTATCACTTATCCTCTTTCCTACCATAATACTATTTGCCATGCTCTCTGGTCTTCACAATTCCCATCATCTTTAAATTTCCTCTTGTTATGTTTCTCTATTTCTTATCTGGCTGTTAAATGTTCTATTTAATTTCTGTTTCTGCAACTCATGCCTTTCGTATGTCATATTTTTCTCTGCAAAAGCCTATCCTTCCATCTTTAACCAGGTCACACTCACATCCTGTCAACCTTTTACGACAGCCAGTAACAGGAAACTGAGTCCAGATGTTCAATACACTGTTACATGACTACTTCATCCAACATCAGGCCACTTATCGTCTACATTACATTTCCACCCTCTTTGTACCCCATTGATCCAACATGTGAAATATAAGACAATTTATAGGCATGTGTGCAAAAGAATTTTCACTTTCATAAGCACAGAAACATAATAACTCACTCATGGTAAGTCTGCAAATCAGTTTGGTCAGCCTTGTGAACAGAAATAAAAATCACAACACAAGAGGCTTTGTTTATTATAACCATGTTATGTTTCAGAAAAGGAAAGTAACTGTGGTGACGAAATGGCCCAGATCACACAGATTATCAGACTTGAAGAGTTGATAGGACTCTCGCCTGAGACAAAAGGTTATGGGTTCAAGCCCCACAACAGGACTCTCAGATCATAGTCTAGGCTGTTACTGTGATAGTCCTGGGGGAGCGCTGCATCTTTCGGATACAGTCAATCCACTTTGCAGTATATATTATGAAGGGCTTTGAGAAGTCTCAATGATGTGAAAGGTGCTATATCAAATGCTAGGATTATTCTTCTTGTTTTTTTATTTGCTGGAAAAGTGTTGTGCCAAGCTGGTACAACTACACAACCCATGTTGTGATTTCCACACACCATATTTCTTCTAAAGATGTGACTCATGCTGGAGTACAATTAAATTGGTATCGTCCTGTAGCTCAGTGGTTAGAGCACTCGCTTTGCAAGCGAGAGACCTAGGTTAGATTCCCGGCAGGGTGAAACCTTGGGCAAGTTTCCTTACTCAACACGCCTGATAATAATCACTCAAGAAAAAAAAACAATCATAAATTGATTATTTCAATCCATGGCTGTTTGTGGGACGCTGCTGTGCGCAATTGGCTGCCGCATTTCGCCCACAAAGTATACAGCCAATTCACTTTACAGTCTATTCTGTGAAGCACTTTGAGACGTCTAGAAGACGTGAAAAGAGCTACATCAAATGCAAGGATTATTATTATTATTACTATTATTACCTGTAGCTCTCTGGTAAATAGCACTTGCTTTCTGCGTGACCTGAGACCAGCAGGAGATATGACAGTAGTTGGGAGGGTGGAAGAGATATCATAACTGATAAGTTACACACAAAGTGATAAGCAGCAGGAAATCTTGCTGATCTTACCCTCCGTAACCCAGGCTTAGAGGCCAAATGCAGTGCATGATAACCACCAGAGATTGAATTTGAGCCTTTCCGGTTCCATGTGATTCAGCACACCAAGTGGTACGATTATCCACAACGCCATCAGCAGAGCACCACAGAGTGACATTCGAATTCTCTTCTGAGCTATCAAAATGTTAGTCCCATTAAAGTCAAAGATCAAAGGGATGACTATATTAGGATATCCTCCAGACAAGAAACAAAGTATATAAACATAATTTTATTGTTGTTGTTGTAAATTTAAAAAAATGAATCAACTGAAGTTATTGTTGTTGCCTCAAGTTGAAACTTACCCTGCAAATCTTCATAATAAACTTCTTGTGTCTCATAATATATTCTTTGTATAAGGATTAGGTAAGGATTAATTAGGTGGATGTAGAAAAGAAGAGTTTAGATCCACTTCTGCATACTGATTTCAGTCTTGCTAAATTCAGTGAGGATACTCGTTTAAGCTGCTCCTGTCCAGGATGCACAATAAAATAATAATCCTTGCATCTGATATAGCACCTTATCACGTCTTCGAGACGTCTCAAAGCACTTCATAGAATATACTTTATAGTGAATTAATTGACTGTATGTTTTGTGGGCGAAACGTGGCAGCCAAGTGCACACAGCAGTGTCCCACAAATAGTCGTGATTGAGTAACCAAATTATTATTTTTAAATTTTATTTTAAGGTTATTACCCCTGGAAAAGCAATCTGCCAATCGACTAACAACCTGGTTCCTACTTACTGATAGGTAAACAGAGGCATGTGGTGTAAGGAAATTTGCCCAAAGTTTTTCCCCGCCTGGGAAAAAAACATTAAGCTACAGGACTTCACAATGATTATGCATTGAACAGTCTCTTCAAATAAATTACCAGAGGGAACAAATCTGCACTTAGAATGCAATGCTCTCTCTATGAAATATCAAAAATATTCTAGAGAAATTATATAATTGTATATAGATGGTTATGGCATTTGGAGCGTGTAAATGAGATGATATCAAATGGGCCAAAATACTTCTTCATCCAAAACCAATCTTGTGAGGAGAGCTGAAAATGTTTTCATTATAATAAAGAAGACTGAGAGGTGGAAAGATGATAAAGGCCTTAAAATTCTGAGAGGCAAACTATATGCAACATTAGATAGTGCCCTTCATGGAGTATGAAAATCTCAGAGCACTTCAGAAACTGCCAAACAAGGTTGGAGGGGGAAGGAGGAGGTGACCAGGCGCAATCAAAAAGGTAGGCTTTTAAGCAGGACTTATAGAGTGGAGGAGGGAGTTCAAAATGTGGGTGTAGTTCCTGAAGATTTTCCACCGATGGTGTAAGTGGGAGATGTGTAGCAGGAGGTGAGGTAGAAAACAGATACAGGGAGGTGCGAGGATGTGACGAGAATTACATGCAAGAATGAGGACCCTGAAACCAATCCATTGAGACTGGCGGTGGAACCTGGAGAGGAATTGGGTGATGTATATGTGACGATTAGTGCAGGTGAAGATGTGGACAACAGAGTTTTGAATATCATTTTGAATTATATGATAATAATGATCTTTTCATTTAATATAGCACCTTTAATGTCAGGGGGATATCTCAAAGCGCTTCACAGGATTCAGTGTGTAGGTGAATGTGGCAACCAATTTGAGCACAGCAATTTCTGACAGCCATGAGGTGAAAGTGTTACGGATGTACAAAACTACACTCACAAAACATACAGTCAATTCACTTTACAGTATATTTTGTGAAGTGCTTTGAGACGTCCAGAAGACGTGATAAGGCGCTATATCAAATGCAAAGATTATTATTATTATTATTACTACACGTCACTAAGGTCCAAATAATAATGCTTGCAGTTAATATAGCACATAGAAATGTCTCAAAAAGTGCTTCACACAATGAGTTACTTTGAAGTGTAGTCACAAACATGACAGCTAATCTGTTCAGAAACATCCCACATATATCAATGTGATGAATGACAAATTAATCTGCTTTTTTTTGTGAATCTATGGAGTGAGGAGAATCCAGTGAAAAACAAGCCGTAAAACATGGCAGAAAGAGAAATAAAACAAGAATGCCGAGATTTGTAATGCATTTAGTCTTTAGATATTAAATTGTGTGCGGATGTCAGTTCAGACATTGTGACATTCTTAAGTAAGGAAATATGATTTTGATTTCCATAGTTTAGAAAGCATGCACAGATTATACATTTGTATCATATTTTATAATCAGTCAAGCCACATTGGAAAATGAAACATGAGGTTTGTATTTCAGTAAATGCTAGTCTATTGGGGATGGAATCCAGCCCTTCAATGCACAATTGAAATGTGTTAGTGATTCATACCAAAGTAACCTAATCATGAAATTTTTCACAAATATTTGAACAAAGCTAACATTAAAATAGTGGCCAGACAATGCAGCAAACAATTATTAACATATGATTTAAAAGCATACCAAATTAAGCTATAAATTTGGCTCAGTCCGTAGTAGGCTCATGCCACACATCAGGACTTGAAGCTCATATGGTTTATGCTGTCACTCCAGTTTAGCACTGGAGTCGCTATATTGTGTGGAAGTGCTGTCTCTTAGATTAAACAAAGTCTGTCTATCTGTCTGTCTACTTGTTCAGGTGTTAAAAGTTCCCATGGCACTGGTTGAAAAAAGGGAGTTTCTCCTGGTCAAAAATCTCCCTTATAAAATTGGTCATTCACTTCATGGCTATTTGAGACTCATTACTCTGTGAAAATTAGCTGCTGTGTTCACCTACAAAATACAGATTCACTCCATTTTACAACGTATCAACAACAACAACTTGCATTTGTATAGCGCCCTCCACGCGTCTCAAGAGCGCTTAACAATGGTGGCCAAGCCATGGGGAAGGTGACCTTAGGTGCGGTCGAAGAGGAAGGTCTTCAGGCCCGACCTGAAGATGGGGAAAGGGGGCGGGGGGGGCGAGGCGAAGGGGTTGAGGCAAGGAGTTTCAAAGTTATGCTTTGGTATCCTATGAAGCACTTTGAGATGCCCTAATGTGAAAGGCACAATACCAAATGTAAATACCATTATTATTAACGGCAGCCAGTCATAACTTATGGTGTTTTTGCCTACAAAGTGCACAGTCACTACACTTAATTGACAACGTGAGATCCTGCGAAGCTTTTATGAGTTGTCCTCCCAACGTGAAAGGTGTCAAACTTTAGGATCATTATTACCTCGGGTTCAATTCGATTCCCGGGGCAGGGCAAGTCTCCTTAACTCCACGCGCCTCTGTTTGGCCGAGAGGGAACCCGGTCGTGAGTCGCTGAGCGGATCGCTTTTCCGGGAGTAATAATAATCCCTTTCCCCCCCCAAAAAAAAACACAATCACAAACTGGTCACTCAATCCACGACTGTTTGCGGGGACGCCGCTGTGGCGGAAATGGCTGCCGTGTTTCTTCACCCCCCCCCGCCCGCCCCCCCCCAAAAAAAATACACAGTCACTTCACTCGACGGTGTATTTCTGCGAAGCGCTTCGAGACATCGCGATGAGGCGCTGTGTCAAATGCCGGGACCACTGTACTCAGAAGGATTACCAAATGAAAAGACGTTGCCCTCCTCATTCAAGCCCCACCGACGAAGAAACTCTCAGCGACAGAGTCCCGCCGTTTCCCCCCCTCCCCTCACAGAGTCACCAGGGCGAGTCCCGAGCCACCTTTACCTGCTCCTCCCGCGAGCCAAGCCACGTCGCCCGTGACGCGTTACGCTCTTGACTGGCATGACGAGCGACCAATGAGAACCGCGAGACGTCCGGCGTCTTGTCCCTCTCCCCCCCCAGCGACCAATCGGACGTGACGTGAAGGCGGGACTTACTGGGCAGACGTCGGGCTGCGCGATGACGGTTGAGGCCGGTCGCGCGGGAGGAGGGAGGAGGTGGTGGTGATGCGGGGGGGGGGGCGGGGCGGGGGGGAAGAAGGGGGCGGTGGCACGCACGCGCCGCGCGGGCTCACGTTTGAATGACCAACGTCCCCGCCGCGCGCCGTGATTGACAGCCCGAAGGCCCCCGTCTCGAGGCGCCCGCCCACCGCCGCCCCCCCCCCCCCCCCCAGCGCGCGCTCCGATTGGCCGACGTGGGGCCGGGTGGGTGGGTGGGTGGGGAGGAGGAGGGAGGGGGAGGGGGGAGGAGGCGGGAGGTCGGCCGGCAGCCGGGCGGCGGTTGGCCGTCCCGCCATGTCCGTCGCGCGCGTCACCAGGTTTTCCATTGTGAAGTTGGGTTGAGCGGAGCGGAGTGGAGGAGGAGGGAGAGGGGGGGGTTAGGAAGAGAGGGAGAGAGAGAGAGAGAGAGATGGAGGAAGCTCTCCTGTGGATGTTGAGTGTGTTTCTCTCGTAAGAGTGGGTGGGAGAGAGAGCCATGACTGGATTTCTTTTCCTGGGCAGCATGAATTGTGAAAGGTCATGGCACTGAGTCCCGATGATGAAGACTATGACACCTCTCAGGTTCGGCCCTTTCAGAATTATTTCACGACTTCGCTTGGAAGGCTTAACGTGTGGGTGTGTGGTGTGTGTGTGTGTGTGTGTGCGATCTGTGTGTTGTGTTGTGTAAGTGATGTGTTGGGGGGAAAGTCAGTGAGTGGCTGCTGTTGCTACTGGACAAGGCCTTTCCCATCCCACCCCATAGAGAGACACAGCACTGGGGGGTGGGGGGTGGGGGGGGAAATAATGGCATCCTTTTTTTTTACACACACACAGTCATTAAAGGGCTTCAGGGAATTTGGGAGAGTTTGTAGCTTAAGGTGTCAGTCTTTTGCGTTTGGAAATGGGAGGACACTTGACCTAATTGTGTGTTTCTGCATACATTCAGATCAGCTTTTTTTCTCTCTCTCTCTCTCTCTCTCGTGAGCATTTGGCTTGAAAAATCTTTTCACATCTTCCACTAGATAGCAGGCTGCCCCCTTGTTGTGTATCTGTATTAAAGATGGTGTAATACATGGATTGTGTAAATGTTTAACCTTCATCTGTAGTAGTTTACAATTTGAATTTTGTTCCAGGGATGAATGGTTCCCCACCCCCCCACCCCCCCCCCCCCCCCGCACCTCATTACAATAACCTTGAAGCATTTTAGTGAGGTTTTAAAGTACAGTGATCAAACTCCTAAACGTTTTAAGTGAAAGATTATGATTGGAAAAATAGGAGTAACCTAATTTATTGCAGTGGAACTCAGTATTTTACACTTTGATTTGGAATATTTACATGTTATTAAATATTCATTTTAAGCTAGTGTACCTATGTTTGTGCTTTTTAAATTATGGAAATATTTGTTCATTTATCCGGAACGCCTGTAACATCATATATAAAAAAATATCCTGGGTGGGTGGTCATATTTGATCAATCCACACCCCACACCCCCAGCCTCCTCCCCTCTTCCCACATCAAAGATCACTATTTCTGATGATTTGTGGCCTCGTTGAATGCCAAATAGGAGATGTCATAATATTCTGCTGTCCTGACTCAATCGATTGTGTATGTGGGAGCGTACCTCTGTGTTTTCTGATTATGGGTCCATATCTGTAAGCACGGATTGGAAGATGTGTAATGGGGTCAATTGTACAATCGGGTTGAGGAATCTTTGGCGGGCGAGTGGCGTGATGGTTGGTTTGACCAGTAAATGTTACTGGAGATTCTTTGGGCAAATGTATCCGTAGGAATGTTCGAAGGCGTTTTGAGTTTTTTTTAAAAAAAATCAAAACAGTTTGCATCATGTCTTCGAAGCGTTAAAGCTTCCAGGAGCATACAACGCAGATGATATTGAGATTCGGTAAATGTGGAGCTTTGTTCGTGTTTAGTAACAAGTGACGGTTCGGTTTACAGCTGAGATTGACAAGCTACAGCTGGATTTTACACACTTCAAAAGCCCCTCTTCAGCCTAAGCATTGTTTCATTATGTGCAAGGCTACGTTTACTGAACCTCAGTACCATCCATCTCGCTTCACAGTCCTAAAGCTATTTTTAAAAATACCAGCAGCAGAATTTCTGAATTGTTGGTTTATGAATTTCCTATAATAGTTCTGTTTACATCTAACATACTAGTAAATGACTCCTTAAAATTAAGTTCCTTTTTTGTGAGATAAGGAAATCTTAATTTTACTTTACTGCCCCCAAAAGTGATGTTTGGGATTTGCGAAAACTAATCTTTACCCTGCCTGAGCTAATATTTTATTAAAATGCCATTGTTTTGTAAAGCAGCAGTTTAGAAGCTGAGGGATAAAGGTTTTTTGTCTTACTAAATTTCCTGAAAAGCCAATACAGTACAGCTGTAATATGTTGACCTTTGTTTTAATCCAACCACCATCTCATGTGAAACTACTTAAATTTTGAACATTCAAGTAATGTTCATGGAAGTTATTTTTATTCTGTTAACTTGTTTTCGAAGATGTGATTTGTTCAGTGTGTTTGCGATCTTAACTGAGGCCCTTATTTTACAAAAAAGTATGGTTTCCATTTTCTTCAAGGCATTTATGGTGACAGCCCCTTGTCTGATGATTTATCTGTCATTTTAAGGGAATTGTTTCAAAGAAGGATCAGAAAACAATGTATGTTTGAATCTGATCCTATTCATTACCAAGTTCCTTAGGTTAATACCTGAAGTTAAAACTTGGCTGAGTTTTTAATGTTTCCGTTGCAGAAGTAGCTATTGGAATAGTTGCAGTTTTTATGTTCTCATTACTCCAGCACTTGAAAATGATGCTGGATGTTATACAAATCTTGTCAAAAAGAAATGGGGAAATATATTAGTTCTCACCTTGTCTTAGACAAAAATCCCCCAAATAAAATTGGTCATTCACTTCAATATTGTTTGTGGGACATTGCTGTGCTCAAATTGACTGCTGAGTTTGCCAATAAAATATAATCATTATTCTCTACAATATATCTTGTAAAATGCTTGGAGATGTTCTCTTGATAATAATAATAATAATAATCCTTGCATTTGATATAGCGCTTTTCACGTCGGGAGGAAGTCCCAAAGCTCTTCACAGAACACACTGTAAAGTGAATTGACTGTATATTTGTGGGCGAACGCGGCAGCCAATTGCGCACAGCAATGTCCCACAAACAGTCGTAGATTGAAAATGACCAATTTAATTATTGTTTTTAGTTTTGGAGGGATTATTATTAGGCTCTGTGTGGAGTAAGGAAACTTGCCCAAGGTTTCGTCCTGCCTGGAATTGAACTCCGGTCTCTCACTTGCAAAGCGAGTGCTCTAACCACTGAGCTACAGAACTCCAGCCACTGAGCTACAGGACTCCAACCACTGAGCTACAGGGCTCCATAGGAAAGGCATTACTTCAAATCCAAGGATTATTTTCTATTGGAAGTGGGATTCCACTGATACTGGGTGCCCATTGGGCCATGAATAATGGCTGAGCTTGGCAGTCGCTGTTAGCAGGCTATTCAACCAATGCAGCCCAGCCAACCTTGTCAAACACATGTAACCCATGAGGAGTTTACTTGATAAGTGATCAGGAACGTGTGGAGTGTCACCTCCCCATCAACAACAGCTTTCCGGACAGCGTCCTGGAGAGCCTACTCTTGGTGCTGAGGCCAGTCCCTTCCTAATGACCCATCCGAGCTTGACTATGGCAGTACAGATTTGAGTTAGACCCTTTCTGAGTTGTATGGCTCAGTTACTCATTGTTTAAGCGGAGTCCTGTAGTTTAGTGGTTAGAGCACTCGTCTCACCTGGGTTCGATTTTCGGGCAGGGCGAAACTTTGGGTAAGTTTCCTTACTCCACACGCCTCTGATTACTTAGCAGTAAATAGGAACCCGATTGTTAGTCAATTGGCAGATTACTTTTCCAGCAGCAATAATCCCTTTTTTAAAAAATAATTGGGTCATTCAATCCACGACTGTTTATGGGACACTGCTGTGAGCAATTATCTGTCGCCTTTTGCCCACAAAAATATACACTCACTTCAGTTTACAGTGTATTCTGTGAAGTGCTTTGATGATGTGATAAGGTGCTATATAAAATGCAAGTATTATTATGTAAGCTTGCTAAGCCAATGTTGCCACCTTTCATATTGTTTGAAACTGTTTTTGGTTCAAAAATCATACAAACAGAAGCACGATAAATTTTAAGGTTAATTTTTTGGTGAAAGAATTCAACCGTTACTCGGTTTAAGCTTATAAATTTAGTTTAAGGAGATTTCTCTGGAGCATCAATGTATTAAATTAACCAGCTGCCTAAGTTGAGAGGTAAATTATCAGTGAATTGCCAACAGTATTTAATATTTTGCTAGCGAGTGACAAGATAGTGAGAACGAATGAATGATGCAGTAACATTTCAAAAAGGCAAAGGTAATTTATTACATTTATTTATTTTTTAAAAAGTGCTTGCATAGCTCTTTAACATTCTCAATAGCAGAATGACTAGCTCCCCAAGCAAGTTTTGTGTGTGTTGTTTTTGGAAGCCTAGTTGCTGATGGCATTTTTATGGATTGTCATCATAGGATTTAAGAGGCAAGGTTAGATGGTGCTTTTTTTTATTTGTGCATGCTATGGTATTGTATACAGCTACTACACTTCAACAGTATGATTTTAATGGGTGTTTTTTTNGGAATTCATCAGAATTATTAGCATTGTGGGTGCGGAATTGAATGCAAATTTCTCTGCTAGTCTAGGAATATGGAACATAGAGTAAGAGAGTGGGAGATTAGGAATAAAATGCATCCAAGCTTCAACATAACTTTTCAAAAGTACCTTTTTCTCCCCCTTTCTTGCTATGTTTCTGTCGTTTTAAACAATTGCCCTAACACCTTGACAGTGAATCTCGGGTGCTTTTGGATTGAAGCTTTGCACAGTCTAGTGCCACATAACTAATCTATGAATCTCCAGTTTTGAAGAAAAAATAGTAGCCCTTGAATATGATAACATACAATGGCCTATGAGCAGGCTATGAGCGTTAACTCAATGTGTCAAGTGCTTTTTGAAACCTTTCAATGTAGTGAGGTGCAATATCAAATGCAGGCATTGATGGATGTCTGAATATTATAGACCAGGCCGCTTCACAATGTTTCTGTACGACGTCCAAAGAAAGTGATGTATTATAGTTGACAAAGACATCTGCCAGGCAGGAATATGCTTTACTCTTCTACAGTAAAATTAATTTGCACAATTAAAATGTTAACAGCAGAAGAATAACAAGTTCAAACGATGTTGGCTTTGACTTAATTTAGGGAAGTATTAAAAATGTGGCCTTATATGGACTTTGCTTGATGAAAATGTATATGTGCGTGTGCAAATGATAAATGATGGAAAGTTGCACAGTCATGTAGTAATATAATAATATTCTTGCATTTGATATAGTGCCTTATCAAGTCTTCAAGACATCTCAAAGCATTTGTAAGTGGCAAGCTCAGTCCCTGACATTGTGTGTGGTTGCTACCACAATTCAGTGTACAGTACTTTCAAAATCTAAAGCCAGTGTCTCTTCAGTTTA